CTCACAGACGTCGCTCCCTGCCCAGGCCCGTATATCATGCATGGCAACTGGGCCGACTGCATCAGGCCTCCAAATTTTTGGGGCCCCCATGTTCAACAACGTGACCTGACCTCCCTCTGGTGGCCTCTGTTAGCTTTTGAGAATATGATGATATACGGGCCTGGAGCTGATGGCACCCATGTTCATGCGACTTTTGAGATTCTGTTGCCGGTCCGATTAGCAGGCCTGCCGATTAGAATTCTAATCCAGATCGCCTGACACCCGTGACGTGACCGTCGAGGAAGTAGGAACCACGCTTCTCGCCTTCGCCTCAGTGCCGCCGGCCGCCGCAATCTCGCTGAGTGCTCGAGTCGCCAGGAGCCCAGGACAAGAATCAACCATCAATCTGCTATCTGTGCAGTGTGCAGGTATGTGCCTAACTGCCTATGTGGTGACCGGCTCAATGATTTGTGTGCAATCGGGCAAATGATTTGTTAATTTAGCTTTGTTTCTTTGTAATTCATGAAACAGGTAGGCCTATTTATTTATCATGACTTCTAGAAATAGAAAATATGAGTCAGGTAATGAAAAGCGCAAGAAGAAACAAAGGCTTGAACAATTTGCTCAGACTCAAAAGGGTGCTATTGATAGATTTGTTGTTAAGAACTGTCAAACTAGTGCACAAGATGAAACTCCTCGGGCACACAGTGATGGAAATCATGGTGATAACACAGACAACGTTGAGGCTCACACTTTAGAAACTGAATCAGTGCAAGTTAATCCCAACAATGCGGATGGTGTTGATGCTACCCTTGATGGATCAGCTAGTATTGAAAGTGACAATGATTTGAGGGTTCCTTTTCAGCCTAACATATTTGATCCAAGATATTGGGATGGACTAGATCAAAAACAGGTTGATATTTTGGTCCAAAAGGGTCCTAAAAGGGACTTGTCTATTCAGAAAGGTCCTAAAGATAGGTTATCAAGGAGGTTTTCTGCAGCATTATATACTAGAATTTTATCAAATGGGGAAACTTGTGATAGAGAATGGCTGGTATATTCCAAAGAGCTTGATAGAGTATTCTGTTTTTTTTGCAAGTTATTAAGAAAGGGGCATTTAAGGAGTCAGCTAGCAAATGAAGGTCTGAGTGATTGGTCACATGATGGCACTCGACTTAAAGATCATGAAACTAGTGCAGATCATATTACAAATATGGCCTCTTGGTACGACATGCGTCTCAGATTTGATAACAACCAAACTATTGATAAAGTTGCTCATAGAGAAATTGAGAAGGAAAAGGAACATTGGAGGAAGGTTTTGTTCAGAATTATTTTGATTGCAAAATTCCTTGCAAAGCATAACTTAGCATTTCGTGGCACCAATAGCAAGTTGTATCAGGACAGTTGCTAAAGACCTACATGCGCAGTACTATGGAAACAAGAAAGGCTAGATGGATTGGCGACAATTGCGCTTGAAAATGATGTTCTAGAGAAGATTAAGTATGAAGATATAATTGAAGATTTCATTTCGAAGAATACTAGATGAATGATGCTTTTTAATAGAGTAAATTGCACCGTAGGTCCTTAAACTTTTTGTGGATTCCCGTCTGGGTCCTTAAACTTAAAATGTTACCATCTGGGTCCTCGATCTATCTGTCCCGTGCACTAACAGTCCAAAACATGCCACGCGTGCGCTAGGAGCTGATGTGTACATTGCCACCGTGGATCTTCCTTGCATGGATCTTCAAACGCACACACGCATGCGTGCTAGGCACAGGTGCATGCACCATGCGTGCACACGTCGGCTTCGGTCGGATCTTCACTTGTGTGCCCAGGAGCCACATTGCAGGTTCGGCCGCCTCCGGTCATTGCGCGCGTACAGCACCACGTCCCGCGCCTGGTTGATCCTCCTCCGGCTTCGCGCAACTCTCCGGCGGCGTGCGGCTCCTCCGGCTTCGACAGAACTGGGCGTCGCGATTAGGTATACGTTGGCTTCCTCTCCCTCCTGCCTGCCGTCTACGCGTTGAATATATGGCGGTCGTATACATGTGCATGAATATGTGCTGCAATTGCTAGCTTCTTCCATTTAGCATGTCGTGAACACGCTGACATGCATGGCCCTGTATCGTGTACAAGCCCATAGACTTGTTGCTAGCTTCTTTCCCTTTAAGCCAGTAACCGGCCGTATGTACGTGCATGGCCAAGGCTTCTAGAAGGTTTGGGACTACGCCGTTGCTGGCGTCGCACACGGTGAAGGACAGCACGTACGGCCGCCCCGGCACGGTGCAGATCACCTGCGCGATGGCGGTCTCGCTCCCTCCCGGCCAGCAGCTCCACGGCGCGCCGGCCCCACGATGTCGCCGTCGATGTACTTGATGGCCTTGAGCAACTCCACCATCCACCCCGGCAGCGGCAAGTGGTCGTCCACCACGCGCAACCTCGACCTTGTTGGCGTCGGCGACCCAGGCCCAGGCGTATGAGTCCCAGCCATTGCTGTGGTTCTCACGGTACATGGTCTGCATGGCCACCAGGCCCGACTGCCCCGACGCGGACACGTTCAGCTGCTACGCCTGCGCGCATGTCCGTGTCGCGCTGAACACACGTTCAGCTGCTCCGCCTGCGCGCACGTCCGCGTCGCGCTGAACGTGAGCGAGTCATATGGCGGCCGCATGCTCGTCGACGAGCTTGATGGCCTCCCTGAGATCCCTCTCGGACCCGACGTTGAGCAGGCGCTTGGCCTCCACAGCAGCGGCACCGCGGCTGTGCAACGCATGGCGCTGAGCCGCAAAGCGGAGGAACACGTCGTGTAGGTCGACGACCACGCCGGCGTCAGCGGCGGCCGTGAGGACCGGCAGGAGGCAGAACTCCACCTCCTGCACGACGACCCCGAATGCGTAGGACCAGAGCTGCCAAGCTAGAGGCCGTCGATGTTGAAGATGCCGCGGCAGAGAAGGTCCCCGAGCAGCACCGCGAGGCCCTTCCCCTTAGGCTCCACGGTGGCATGTCCATGTCAGCTCCTAGCGCACGCGTGGCGTGTTCTGGACCGTTAGTGCACGGAACAAATAGATCGAGGATCCAGATGGTAACATTTTTAGTTTGAGGATCCAAATGGGAATCTATAAAAAGTTTAAGGATCTATTGTGCGATTTACTCTTTTTAATAGAAGCTAAGAAGTTATGTAAGTAAGATTCATCATTTAATCGTTTTGTACGAATGCTTATGGTATTACATGAGGAGGGCCACAAAAACGTAGGTACGGGCCTGTCCCTGCCCCGCGCCTCGCCATTGTAACCTGACTTTTCAGCATCGTCCCCTGCCTCGTTGAGCTCGCCCCCGCGGCCCCGCCTCACTGGCGCGCAAGGTGGCAGATGCGAGCGCCCGCCCCGTCCTTGTCGGTGCCACCCCCACCTCGCCGGCGTGCAAGGCGGCTAACGAGAGCGCCCACCCCGTCCACGTCGGTACGTGCCGCATGTCGCCTCGCCGTGCTCATTGTCACAGGCCTGCGCACCTCACGTGCCACTAGCGAGGTCTCCCTCACACCAGTGGTGGCCCTCTCCTGGGACTCGCTGGAGGAGACGAAGATGAAGAGGCGGTGAAGAAGAAAGATGCCACCACGATTCTTGTGGAAGTTGGCTGTGAGAGAAAGCTAGCTTTCTTTTTAAGGGTCTCTTTGGCACGGTTTATGTCGACTTCGGTTTCATCTATTTTGCCCAAATCAAGGCACTATAGCGTGAAGCCGTTTTGTAAGCCGGAGTTAAAATAAACTAGAAGCCAGAAAAAAGCCAGTTTTTCTGGCTTCACCGACTTTGGCTTCACCGGTGAAGCCGTTTTGGATAAGACGTACCAAAAGGGCTTAAGTGTGGTCAAGGTAAGTCATACCAAACATGGCCTAAATATTCCTTGTCTAACAGGCACTCTCCTCTTCAGGAACTACAGTGAGTTAGAATCAGTGTCGGACAACTTTTCATCTCATTCACAGTGCCATGGAATAAATTGATAGGGCTACTTAGTATAGCTCAGCTTCACTTGTGCAGTAGTTTTTTTACTTTGGTTTTATATATAAAACAGGTTCACCAGTGAGCTAAAGCTATTTTTAAAACACATTCGGTAAAACAGATTTCTCAGTGAAGATAGCAGAGAGAAGGTTACGAGAGATAGCATTTTTTGTTTCACGTAGGGAACCGTGTCTACAAAGAAAGCTAAATAAAACACTTTCACCCAGCTTCATCAGAACAAATTTGATAGGAGAAGCTGAAAATAGCTTTTGCGAAGCAGGTGCAAAATCTATACCAAACACACACGAGTGGATCCTACCAAGCTGATCGACACAAACAGCCGTACAGGCTGCAAATAGTTTTTTTCTTTTTTTGCCTAGGCTGCGCTCCTATCCTCATAGCTGCAGTGCATCCATTGTCTCTCTCTATGTATATTCATCCTCATGCAATGGTTTTAGGATGCGAGCACATATCCCTAGAAGCAGATTTAGGCTCCTTTTAAAACGTAGAAATTTTTTTGGTCCAGTGAAAATAAATTGATTTGTGTGAAATTCTGTATGATTACTGCGAAATTCATGTATTCCAAAGGGGCCCTTAACTTTTCCGCAGCCTAGAGAGTTGCTCGTAGAAATCAGTTGAAGAAACCATGCATGGAAACTGAAAGATGATTGCCAAAGAAAGCACACACAGCAGAAGACATTTGCTTACCTATAACTGACACTTTTCATTAGCTTTAATCCAACTGCTTGCCAATCCATGATTACATGAAGACATGCGTTTCCATTGCCATGTCTGTTTCCTTTTTACATTTCTTGCAAAGAAAAAAAGAAGAAGAAGAGAAAACAAATATGGGAAATAAAGGATAACTGATGATGAGATACTAGATGGATAGTAGTAAACTAGTAATAGATAGGCTAAAGTTACGATGAGATACTAAGATTGATAGTAATAAGATAGGCTAAAGTTAAACGCCAGCAGTCTTTGCAATCAGCTCACGCGCATCGTCTTTGCAGCAGCTCGGTGAGCTCAAGCGCGGTCCTTGCGGGTCTCCGCGTTCCCCAGGGTGAGCTCCAGGCCCTCCTCCTCGTCGGCGTTCTTCTCAGTCATCACCTTCTCCTCCCTTGCGCCCGACTGCTCCCCGCCGCTCCTGCTGAACGAGAACCCGAGCGGGGACAGCAGCGCGCCACCGCGGCCACGGACCGACGACGCCGCCCCGCCGCCGCTCCGTCCCGGCAGCGGCGGCAGCATCCAGGCAGAAGCAGAAGCAGAGCTCCCGGCGCCGAGCGACGATGCGCCGGACGCCACGAAGCTGCTGTAGGCCGGTGCCTTGTTGGCCGCGGCGGTGGATATCTGGAACCCCGCCATCAGGGTCACCGGGTCGGGGCCGGGGGCCCGGCCGCCGGTGACGGTGCTCATCAGCGGCGGGGTGGAGGTCTGGAAGGAGTAGCTGCTGGCGCCAGCGCCCGTAGCCAACGGAGGCGGCAGCACGTTGGAGGCCCTCGCGGGGCTCGGCGGGGGGGTGGCGGGCGGCGGGGAGGAGTAGCGCGCCTTCTTGCGGAGGCGCGGCGGGGACGAGGGCGGGGTGCCGTTCTGCGGCGTCGCCGGCGCGTTGGAGTTGGAGGAGCTCGCGAAGAAGTTGGGGTACGAGTTGTCGCTGAGCTGCTTGGACAGGTTCTTGAGCCACGCCGGAACGGGGTCGGCCCCGCTGCTGCCACCGCCGCCGAGCGTGATGCCGGAGGGCGACGACGCCCGGGTCAGGCTGTAGGAAGCTCCGCCTGGTGGGTTCACCGGAGCAGACGACCCGCCAACGTCGGCCATATGCTGATCATCACCTGCCGGAGGCTTGGGTCCCTGAAGAAACACAAAACGAAGAGCCGAGAGGGTATCAATATCAATGAACAACGATGGACATGAATTCGTGCACGCAAAAAATGTGCAATCGCATGGCAATGTGAAAAGAACGGGATGTAAAAGCAAACGACGACAGTTTTTCTTTCCCTGCACATCCGTTATTCCGTTTACAGTCGACAGTACGAGGACTGAAGCGACAGACCCACGCAGGGAATATGTAAATAACACAGATCAAGAACAACGACGACGAACACAATCTGCAGGCATGGTGGTGTACTGTAACGAGACATGCATGGTAGGTAGCAGCTAGCTTTCGTCAGAGCTAGCCGTGGATGCACAAACAAGAGAAGGAAGCTCATCCAATCTTGTTGGAAAGGCAATGGAACAGTCGATATTAATATAGCTAGATGACGAGCAACTGAAATTAAAACAAAACAAATTTTGGACTTTTGCTACAAACAAAAGACGACGAAGCGGAAAAGCTGGTCGATCGGCTTGCAGCTGTCGACGATACTACACACGCAGCTCGATCGGGAAAGCGACAAGAACGAGAACCAACGGAAACGAAACAATGGAAAGACGGCGGCGGCGGCGACCATTAATTAGCTCGATCGGAACAGCGAGAAAGAGTAATGAGTACCATGCGGTAGGTGGTGCCGTCGGCCTCCACGGTCCAGCCGGCCTCCTCGCAGAGCGCCATGAGCACGACGTTGTTGTCGCAGTGCCGGGGGAGGGTGTAGTTGCCGTGCTTGCGCAGCCCGGTGAAGATCCTCGCCGCGATCATCCGGCGACGGCGCTCCCGGCCCCGGTTGTTCTCTAGCTCACGCCACGGCAACTCCTGCACCGTCGCCTTCCCGTTCCCACTCCCATTCCCGTTCCCGTCCCCTGCCCTAGCCCATGCGTCGTCACCCCCACTCCCTCCCGCTCCTACTCCCTTCGTCACCATGCCTCTTCTCCACTCAGAGAGCTCGCTCGCTCGCTCAACCTGTGAGTTCGTGAGGACGAAGCTGCTGTGGTGGTGCTGATGCATCGGCTGCCGGTGCACTTTATATAGGCCGCCATTGGTAACTGACAGGACAGTGATTTCCCCATTATGCCCATGGCTCGGGTACACATGACGGCCAAGGACCCGGAGGGACACTTTTGGTAATTGCATCAGGTACCTATTGCAACAGTGGTAATTTTTAGCAATGGTGTATTAGCCTTAATGACCTGCCAATAATGGATGACAAGGAGTGATCTGGTTAGAGTAAACGTAGATGATTGCTAGTTTTAGGAGAGCTGCATTCATTATGGTATAAACTATACGAGGCTGGCCGGTGGGGCCCGATGAAGCTAGAACCGATGCCAAACCAGCCCTGAGCATGGAAAGGGGTCAGGTCTGGACCGGCTGATGCACCAGCACCACATCTGGTCTTTCCCATTAGGTTGTGTTGGGTTTATTCCTTGCCACAGTTTTGCAACCATGGAGTATGTAAACCCTAGACACATGCGGTCAGCGGTGTCACAACCATAAAGTAACTCTGGACACGTGCGGGTTTAGTTACTCCAGGTACGTGCGGGTTTGGTTCGGTAAAAAGTCGTTATAGTTTACGTGCACGATTGGATGTTTTTCCGAGGCAATAGCAACGCACTCCTTGCCAAAATGGAGGTAGTAACGAAGACTCGAGGGGCAAAATTGTCACCACTTCTACTTCGACATGGAGTTACCGAAAATAATTGCTTTTTAGTATTCAACGCAGATCTACGTTACTATCAACGGTTATATGTAATACAAAACACACATGAGCACGACGGTTTCATGTATATTCATGCGATAGAGAATCATGGCGGCACGTGTGTATGCACGTGCATTATAATGCGAAAAGATTGTTTCTAGAATCAGATGATGTCAACCATTTTTTTGGCAAAAATAAGATGGTTTACAACGCATTCTCAGCTCCTTGACTATAGTTGTTCTTATAGTTGTAATGAATTATCCTCGATCGTCATAGAAGTGTTAATGAGCATTTACGCAACTGTGAAGCTACCATCGTACATTCACAACAATGAGCTACAACCATCTATGTTAGATCAAAGACATTTTAGAAAATAGTTCAATTATTACCATTTCTACAACTCGATACATAGAAATTGCATTGTACATATACATCACCGGCCCTTATAAGTTATTACTAGAATAGCTTGATAATTTTGGGAACATTATAATTAATTCTCATTGACAGGGTAGCCACAGTTGTAACAATATTATTGTGATACATCATGTAACAAATTTTAACATGATTGTGGAGCAACCATGTGTATGTGCATGATAATACAACTACATCCATATATGTGCAATTACAATAACAACCCTTGTGAGATGAACATAGTAACCATGGATCTACCACCATCACATGCCAAATAATGTGTGTAGGCATAGGTATGATTGTTAGAAAAAGATAGTTTCCTCGAATAGATGTTGATCGTCTACACCATTTTTTTTTTTTTTTTTTGCCCTTCCATTTTTTTACAAAATCTTGAATGGTTTACAACACAATCTCCTGAAGGATATATGTGGTTATAGTTGTAAGGGAATGATCCTCAGGATCAAAATCTAAATGAATATTTCTGCAACCATGAATCTACCATCACAAATGCACAACAATGAGCTAGTACAAGCATCTATGCCATCTCAAGGACATTTTACCGAACAACTCAATTACTAACCTTTGTGTAAATTGGTAAGTTGACAAACCATTGTATCACAATCCAAAATAAGTTATTTTTTTGACCAAAAAATCCAAAATAAGTTATTACCAGCATGGCTTGAAAACTATAGATACGTCATAATTCTTGTTCACTAACAATAGATGTAACAATCTTTTTTCCTTAGAGTGACCGAGTGAGGCTGACATTCTAGAACCAAACAACACCCCTAGATGAAGAGTGTCCCCTCACCATTCACAAAGAGAGGTAGATCATCAAATTTTCACATAGAGGGGAGGAGGTTTATTGAAGCAAAAAATGTTATAGCACACATCACGACAACTTATTAGCCCGATACAGCTCCAGTGGAAGTTGACATATTTCAGTAATGGACCATGAAGATGAAAGCCACCGTTATTTTTTAAACAAGCACCATAATTTCAAAGTGCATAGCTGTATCAATCATTTTGAACTTTCGACTGTTAGATCAGTTTTTTGAACCCAAACGGCCAAACAATTCAGTTTATAGGCTCTTTGGTTGTGCAAAGAGCCAACCCATGATAGATATACACATCCAATTGGTCAGGTTTCAGCCATCAATTACCCTTGGTTTCAGTCAAACTAAATATTTCCCTTTTCTTCTAGTGCAAGTGGTTCACTCTACCCGGTCCATCGAAAATCACAAGCCAAGTGTTTTTCTTACCAAAAACTCACCCCAGTTATTTTAGTACACTATTATTTGCTTCCTCTGATTTACTAGAGTAAAATTAGTAGCATTTAGAGTACTGCCAAAATATTTCCGTTTGCTTAATTACTGTTACCTCTACCTCTAGTGCATTGTTTGGAATTCTTTTGATTCAAAGTAGAGTGCACAATTAAACAATGCTAAAGATACATAGAGAAAAGAGTACAATTAATAGTCCTTGCTTAACCAGGGGTGGTTCTATTTGAGAAATTGAGTGATGGCGCTGCACTATTTAATATGGATTTATTAAATAAACAAAAAAATGAATAAATATAAAGAAAATTTGATGTCATGGCAAAAAAAATTAAATAAGAGAGAGATGAAATGAGTTTCATCTAGATGAAACCCCATGGGCTCTGTTTGCAAGTCTGAATGTGTCATATAATTAAATGCAATGAGACACTACAAGAAACTTGTTAATCCATGACGATTTCTTGCTGACGGATTTACAAACCGTCACTGACAGCCACTGACAGACATAATCGATGACGATATTCATTTTTTCGTCATGGATGAGCCCACTGGATATTCCCAGCCCGTTAACTCGTGACGGTTTTATCAGGATCGTCACAGTGTATGATTTTGAATTCGTCATACGCTAGTTAGCCCAAGACAGTTGGCCCGCTATCAATATTTAGTATAAAGAAAAGTAGAAAATGTGATTGCAAAAAGTATCAAACCCAAAAGACAATTTGTTAAATTATTTGAACAAAATAATTTTGTTACTTTGTTACATGTTTTTTTTTGGCAAAATTAAAAATGTTCTCAATTTATTGTGGATGGGAACAAAAAACTTTACACCTATAACTATATATATGGGATTTGAACACAAGACTTGCAAAAAAATAGAAACATGTCTTACCATTTGAGGTACTTACACTACGTGTCTAAATATGCACTTAAGTATTTTTATTTATTTACCGGCCCAGCATCACAGTAGGCCTGGGTCATTCACTCGCCTGGGTCATTCCCGCACACGGCGTGGCAAAATGACAAAAAAAAAGGAATCTCCAGGAATTGAACCCTGATCCTAGGTGTTGAAAACAATATGCCTTACCACTGCGCTAGCTGCTCCAGTGTGACAGAATATGATTCTATTAGCCTTTTGTTGGCAGGAGTGGCCCAACATTAGGTAAATAGGGAAAATAGAAAAAAAGAGTGGAGTCCGTGGGAATCGATCCCACAACCTACGAGTTGACAACAGTCCGCCTCACCACTGTGCTAGCAACTTGTGTGTGACCGAGTACAATTCTATTTCTTTTTGTTGATGAATGTAGGAGTAAGTTTCCCCTTTCCTCAATTCCTTCACGGACTCAGTTAGACACCAGCCGTGATTCAGAGACTCAGCCACCGCCGCTGGACTCAAACACTGCCGCCGACAATGAGATTAGGCAAGAGCCGCGCCGTTGCCCACCACCGCTGCGTCGTCCAAAGACCGTCGCCTCCTCGTTTGCCGCGTCCTCCCCGCATCACCACAGACACACAAAGCAACATCTCGCATCACCGCCGCCTTCAAGGCTCCAACCCTATCTTGTAGCTCAAGCATGGGCGGCCTGCCTCCATTGCCGCACCAATGAGAGATGCCGAAAGCTGACCATGCATCCACCGTGACAAATCCAACTATTGAGTGGACTCCTACGGCCTCGAGCACGCTGAAATCGTCAAACGCTAAGCAATTGCCTCCTCTCCGAGGGGATCCCTATCTGCCTCACCCGAACTCCTCCGACAGCCCAAGGTATATATCTCTTCTTTTTTTTTTGTTGATTTTGTTGGATGTAGCATTTGAATTATAGCAGCTTAGCTCATTGTGGTTTATCTCATGACGCTTGATTAGATGGATAGAAGTTGGGTGCATAGCAAACTATTTTCCCCTGAATACATTGACGGTGTGAAAGAATTTATGAATTTCATTCAGGGGAAATTCAATGAGAATGTTGAAATTCTATGCCCCTGTAGCAGATGCCTTTATCAGAAGTACCGAAAACAGGATGTTGTGAGGAAGCATATACTGATGAATGGCATGGAAACTACTTATACTCGGTGGATTCATCATGGAGAGAGCTTAGATGTCAATGTTATTGAGCATCCTATTGATATGCATGAAGATGATGATGGTTCCACACATGGGGTCGGTGTGACAGAGGATGACTACTATGGTGATCGTTTGGAAGGGATTTTAGGAGACCTACTGAGAATCGCAAACACGACAGCAAGGCCGGATGTAGAAAATGAAGTTGGTGTTGAAGAACCTTGTGATAAAGAGTCATTTTTTAAAACTGTCAAGAGAGAGGCAAAGCGCCAACTTTATCCTGGATGTTCCAAATTTTCAAGATTCTCTTTGGTGGTAAGGCTTCTACATATGAAGTCATTATATAGAATTAGCAATTCTGCTTTTATCGCACACATGAAGGTATTACTGATGCTTTCCCGCAACACAATACACTCCCAAAATCATATGATGAAGCAAAGGGTATTCTAAAGGAACTAGGTCTAGGGTATGAATCAATACATGT